GTTGGGGTGAATGTACATGGCGATCATGTCCGATAGGGTCCGATGAAACCGTTCAGTCAATCCGTTGGTCTGCGGGTGGTAGCTAGAAGTGGTCTTGTGAACAGTGTTCGAGGCACGCAAAACTTGCTCGACAATGGAAGATAGGAAGACTTTGCCACGATCACTGAGGAGAATGCGTGGAGCTCCATGACGCAAAAAGATGTGGCGAAGAAAGAAATCGGCGATCTCAGTGGCAGTCCCAGATGGTATAGAAGCTGTTTCTGCGTAGCGGGTAAGGTGGTCGACTGCCGTGACAATCCAGCGATTCCCATTGGATGATATAGGAAGAGGGCCATACAAGTCGATTCCAACGACTTCAAAAGGTGAGGCGGGACAAGGAAGAGGTTGCATTAAGCCAGCCGGAGCAGTTGTTGGTCGTTTTCGCCGTTGGCAATGGACACAGGAGGCGACGTACTTAGCGACGGCTGAAGAGAGGCCAGGCCAAAAACAACGACTGTATTTTGTCGTAAGTCTTGTGGTAGCCTAGATGAGCAGCGGTTGGATCATCATGAAAGGCTTCCAGAACTTCACGTTGCAGAGAACGTGGGATGACGGGTACCCACTTGTTGCCATCGATGTGGTAAACGTAGCGACATAAAGCATCACCGACAAGCTTAAATTGTTTAAGTTGTCGACGGAGTCTGGCGTTTGGAGGAGTAGTAGAGCCGGTCAAGCGGTCAACAATGGTGCGGCAGTATGGGTCGACACGTTGTTGTGAAACAAGGACGGATAGGGTGGCAGGTGATGAACTTAGCGCTGCGATTGGAGAGGTGCTGTTGTTTTGGAGTATCGATGGTGAATTGCTTCCGCTGGGCAAAGGACAGCGCGATAGAGCATCAGCATCTTGATGCTTCTTCCCAGATCTGTAGGTGACATCGAAATCATACTCCTGTAAGCGAAGCGCCCAGCGACCAAGGCGACCCGATAAGTTTTTCAGCGATGAAAGCCAGCATAGGGCGTTATGGTCGGTCACGACGGTAAAATGACGGCCGTGAAGATATGGTCGGAATCTTTGCACTGCCCAAACAACAGCAAGGCACTCCTGCTCTGTGATAGTGTAGTTCTTTTCTGGAGCGGTAAGAGCACGACTTGCGTAGGCAACGACGCGTTCGCGTGAGTTTTTGTCACGCTGCAAGAGTACCGCACCGAGACCATGACTACTTGCGTCGGTGTGAAGGATGGTGGGTGCGGTGGAATCGAAGTGGCACAGTACCGGATCCGACGTGAGGGCTTGCTTCAATGCCGTGAAAGCGCTTTCGCAGTCTTCGGACCAAATGAAGGGGACGTTCTTTGCGAGGAGTTGATGGAGCGGAGACGCAAGTTCCGCGAAACCACGTATGAAGCGCCGGAAGTAAGAAGATAACCCAAGAAAGCTGCGCAGGTCCTTCTGACGTAGTGGACGAGGAAAATCGAGGACAGCGGCAAGCTTCTCGGGTTCGGGCCGAATTCCTTCTTTGCTGACAAGGTGGCCGAGAACCTTGATTGTCTTGCTAGCAAAGGTACATTTCTTGGTGTTAAGCTGTAGACCGGCTTTTGCAAGGCATGTGAGGACTTCGTCAAGACGTTGTAGATGCTGCGAGAACGTGGATGAAAACACTACTATGTCATCGAGATAGCACAGACATGTTTTCCATTTCAAACCACGCAATACGCCGTCTATCATGCCTTCGAAGGTGGCGGGCGCATTACAGAGTCCAAAAGGCATCACATTGAACTCGTACAACCCATCTGGCGTTGAAAAGGCGGTCTTCTCTTCACAATATTAATATTGTGTAAAGATGTCCTAGCGTGTTGATTATGATCGATGTTATAATAATTCGGCTGACTATATTGTCATCCTAAATTAGTTAAATATGTGTGTTTGGTTTGTATCGACTGCATCTGCTGTGTCCGTTCACTCCAAGAGCGTGTCGCTCGCCTATTGAAGACTTCACACTGGCGCCCAACGTGGGGCTTTTGGAGCATCGGATGACAGTTTTCGTGGTTCGGTGCAAGCTTTTGTTAGAGCCGGAGTAGAGGATGCCTAGGGGGACTTCTCATTGCTAGCGTCGGTGGTGTGCTTTGTTGAGAGTGAGGAGATCGGTTGTTGTGAAGTCTTTGAACTTGTCGGCAGGTTGAGTTTTGATTTTTTTTTCTGCTCGCCAGTGGTTTTTGTTTTCGTTGTTGGTTGGTTTTCAAGAACGTTGTTGAGTTGGGACGAGAGCTATGCAGTCTGCATCCTTGGGTGAGTAAAGCTTAGAGCAAGTGGATTGTAGGCCAGGCCCAAAGTGAGTGAGTACGGAAGCCTCGTGGGTGGTCCGATGTTTTGTAAATAGCTTCTACTATCTTTTGGGCTCAGGGAGCTGGGCGTTGTTGCTGTCTCATATTGCGGCTCGACGCAGGGGCGTCGCGACACCGTCCAAGATGGTGGACACCGATCGCTCGGTAAGCTGCTGTGTGCGGTGAGCGATAGGGCCACTTTACAGAATGGATGTCTCCTTGCGGCTGTGTCTTCTGAGCCTAGGCTGGGTGCTGGGTGGATGCCGGTTGTTGTCGAGCGACTCATTAGGCCTAAGACCCTGCGAAGCCACCTGTCGCACGTGGCACAACAAAGTAGATTGTGGCTTCAAGGTGTTGCAGTCTGCTTCTCTCCCTTTTATATTGCAATGCACGAATTAGGAAAAGTGATGTTCGTTTTATTTTTGAGCTGGGCGACTTGGCCGCCGCCGAGTCTGACCATCGTACCACGTAGGCGAAAAGCCCGAAGCTCCCTTCTCTAGGCCCTGCGTCATTGTTTCTGTCGAGTGTTTTGGAATGTACGCAGCGGGAGTGATGTAATCCACAGCTGGCTGTCTTCTGCACATCGTCAGTGCAGCTGGCCAGGAATGCGGTCATAAGGTCGCGCGATGGACATGCCTGGGACCTGCGCAACTGCCTGCAGTCCAGCGCCCCCGTGAGTGCTGGTCGCAACCGGAAGACATGTCGGTGTGAGTGACTGTTCGTCGCGCCAACGACAACGTTGCTGTTGCGGGACCGGTACTGAGGTGAAGTCGTTGAGCCGGACAGTACAGCAGTGTCGACCGGTGGCGGTGTCTTCGTGCACAGACATTATGTAGGGACATGCATTGTCATGTTTTGTCAGAGCTTCTGTAGCGCATTTCTTTTGGCGATATGGTTTGAATTAATGTTCAAGAAATGTGGGGGTGCTGACACCCCCTGTAAAGTTGTTTGCGCCGCGTGACGCACGGGTCCCGCACAGAAGCCATACTTCGGGAGTGACAACTATTGAGCGATAGGTGGCATTGTGTACCCGAGCGGTGATCACCGTTATCATCATCATCATTATGGTTGTTAGAGCAGTACCGCCGGCAGTGACCCCTGGCGGCAGGCAAGCCTTGGTGGCGACGCGCCAGAAATAAGCTGGTCTCTTCTGCGCATGGCGGTTGCCGTGAACGATTGTCTCTAGCGTGGGTCCCCGGTGCGTGGCAACGCGGGTTGCGCGTCGAGGGCCTTCATGGTAAGTGAAGCGTTGGCAATGCCGTCTTGGGTGTGTTATTGTGCTTGTCATAATTTAGAGTGTATGGTAATATTGTGTAAAGATGTCCTAGCGTGTTGATCACGACTGATGTAATATTAATCCGACTGACGATATCGTCGTTCTAAATTAGTTAAATGTGTGTATCTTTGGGTTGTTCCGGCTGTGTCTACTGTGTTCGTTCACTCCAGGAGCGTATTGGCGATTACCACCTCTAGACCCCAAAGGTTCGTGTTAAATGTTGCCAAGTTCTGGTTCTAATGGCGGCCGGCCCGGACCTCGAGATTTTCAGCACCGTTTGCTGTGTTGCAGATCTGACCGCTGCCCTGGTCAGCTGCTTTGCAGCCGCTGGGGACTGTAGGTTGTGTGTTATTGACGTATGCATGTTGGAGGTAGTGGCCACATACTGCACCAGGGTGGCCAATCCTTCTTGTGTTAGTACGCTTTTAATAAAACAAGTTTGATGTGATGTCAGTGGTGCTCCTCCAGTGCATGACAAAAATAAGCACCCGGTCGTCATTCGCTACATTCACAAGGTATCTCATTCTTTGAAGAATGTGGCTTCTAAGTATGACATACCATTAACGTTTTCGGCTCTGAAAAAGCTCTCTCTTATTTGTGCTGTAGTGTCGTCTGCTAAGAGTCCTGAGAGTGGAAAAGAGCACACGAAAAAATTGCATTTTATGAAATGCTCAACTGGTGTTGTTTAAAGATTCCATAGAGCTGGGATCAGATGTACATCGGCCAGGCTGGCCGAGGGAATAAATGACCAGCTAGCAAAGAATGCCTTGTCTATAAGGAATGGGACCATATGTCGTTTGCCACATTACTGCATGACTTGCGTATGTCAACCACTGTTAGGCAATGTGTGCCTTTAGTGAAAAAGCAAAGACAAGGTGGCATGGGAATCGGCTGAGGCTATGTACATACAGAAAGCTGTCGACCTTTGTGTCATCATTCCTTCTGTTATTCTTTATCAAAATAGAATAGTCTGTAGAATAGTCTGAAATGTAGAAAAATGAAATGACAGGTTTTGATGAAGCGGTGTTTTCAGAGACAGTTATTTTATTTTTGTGATGAAGATCGCATGCTTAGACAGTTATTTTATTTTTGTGATGAAGTGCGCATGCTTGCGGGTTCTTAATCTAAGTTTTTGGAAAAATGGAATTTATTTGCGAGTGTGCGCTTTTCCGTGTATCCCATCTAAGCATTTGCACTATCAATTCAAGTAAAGTTGTTAGTCACGTGGCATGAGGCAGCTGTCGCAGCTGAGCGTGTCTATAAGGAGCAACAGCCAGAAACACTCGCCAATGTGCTGGAGAGGGAGGGTAAAATCCAAGGGTAGGGCAGAGCATTTGCAGCTCACCTTAAAGGCACAGTATACTTAGGAGGCACTGGTCAGGCTTGGAAGTGCTTGTGCTAGCCTAGCATGCAATTGAGTGCTTACCTTTATGCGCATCATAGTTCCAGTGATCTTGGCTTCCAAGGCTTGGATCTCTGCTTTACTTTGCTGACCATCTTTCTTCAGCTGAGCAGCAAGGTTAGACATCTGCAGCACTTGCTGGCGGAGTGCTCTCAGCTTCATCATGCACCGGTACCTGCATATAGCATGGACCAGCCGTTGCAGCAGCACCTCCACAGAGCCCCAAATGCTCACAACCACGTGGGCTCTCCTTGTAGCCACCACTGTGTAATTAGTTCAAAGAATCGGCTTCAGTATGACAAGACGGTGATGGTGGTTTCTGGACAGGAATTGACTTTGCCCATTGAGAAGGACTCTGTGGGGAATGACACTGAAATTTGAGATGGTATGAAACTAGCCATCCATTTTAGAAACTTTTATTAAAGAGCATTCTGAACCCTGCCTAGGAAATGCAAATTCATAAGCACCTTCCGCATCATGACATGAGTAGTATATTTAACTACAGTTAAACCTGCTCATAATGAACCTCCATATTCGCCCCGAGATCGGGCTATAGGGGGCAGCACCGTCACCGTGCTAGTGTGGATAGGCGGCCGGCGGCGCACATGAAAATGCACGCAATGGCGTGTTTTCTGAGCGCTGTGAGCAGATTGTCGGCGAATAAAATGCGTTGACTGCTGCCCAGTCATAATAAATATGCCGTTCATTGCTTAGCGGATGTACAAAGCTCACCGAACGCTACATTTACTTGACAGAAACGCAGTCTGCCATTGAAAGAGATGTCCCCGCTTGATGACTGTCTGCACTTTCACACTGCAGTGTGTCAGGTTTCTTGCATTCTTATTTTAAAAGTTGAGCTTGTGTCCTATCTACTATGCACTGCTGATCATGATTGAATTCATTTTTCATGCATGCTGGTCATGAATACCAAACTCCTCATACCCCCCTCCCTCCCCAAAGGAAGAAATTTGATATTTTTGGGTGATGAATCCAAAAATACAGCGATTACTCATTCTGCCTTTTCGTCTTAATCATTTCTTCATGTAATAAACATAGGACAGTTGATAAGTTCGTTGAGAAAAGCTACGTGACTTACAGCACCTAAGCACACTTGTTCTTACTCCTATAACAGTATGAAAAGGTAATAACTTAGCCCAAAGCTTCCTTATATTGATTATCTGCATCAAAGTGATAGAAAGGTCTGATTAATTGATGGAACAAATTAACCCAAATCTAAGAACAAGGGTGAGGCAATTAGGAAACTCCAACCGAAAATTGCATTACTGTGCTTGAATCAGCACTTGGTCTGGCTTCAATATGTTGGTTTTCTGAATACAATCGTTGGTTGGAGTTTTCTAATTGCCTCATTCCTATTCCACCCAAGCAGACTTCTGCCAAGTGTTCACCTTTGATAAAAACACGGGTCTGTCTGTATAAATGTATTGTCTAATGCTAAAATTGCGCACGGAAGCTCAAGTTTATTCAGCTCCGTGTCATTCAATTGAAGTCCGAAGTGTCAGAATTTACTATACAGAAGTGTCACAGGACTAGGACCGTACAATACAAGGTTAACTCAAGCACAATTAAGGCTAGTCACATAACCAACAAGCAAGAACGCCACAATTTTTTTCAAGTAGACACCTAACAACAATGCAAAACTTTAGTTTATCCCTGATTTGCTAAAATTCTGCATTCACACAATATTTATTATTCCTCATGTTTGTGGCGACGCCAAGTGCACCTTACGATGGGCTTCAGCTGAAAAGCGGCACCTACACCGATACACATCACTCTTGCCAAGTGCTCGACCTCATCATATTGCGGTACATATACAGGCGAGTAAGGCCAAATGCTTTTGTAGACAGTGCTAGGCAAACGTACAAGCAGTTACTCTTGCTCTAAAAGAGTGGGACGTGCCGCCCTTTGAGCCCGAGCATGACCTAGGCGCACGTGCTAGCCTATGTTGATAGACGACGCTAGGTGCGCTTCAGCCAGTAGCCTCCAGGCGGCGACTCCGCTCGATCTCGGGGTGAATAACGAATTCCTCAATATGACAAAGTTTTTCTATTCCCTGCCGTTGCTCCGTAGAGGCACATGTATTTGTGATCTTTATGTAACAAATTAACACAGAGAAACAACCTTGATATAACGAAGTTTCCCCATGAACAATCTAGGAATTTCGCTCCGCATTTTAGTTTGAGCATGCATCTTCTGCAGCTGCATCCCCCCTCCGCCGACAAAGCGCGAACCGGCGGTGGCGTGCACGGCGCATCAGGCGAGAGCGAGCGCTCGTTATTGCACATGGGTGAGCGAGCGCGAGTCGGGCAGGCAGGTCTGCACCCCATGAGCCGGCACTGCCACCGTTCTCACAGCCACGGGCGAGTGCTCGAATGTGCAAATGCGGGAAAAAACAAAAACAAAACAAAACAAACAACGCGCTGCATATAGAGAACGCTTTATCGAATAGTTTACCATGGTATCCGTGTCGTTCGCTCTTCGAAGAGGAGGAAAAGATGGGCTAGTTGGTAATTGATGATGGTTCAGCGAACTGGGAGTGCGGGGGTAAACACAGACACAAAGCAAAGAGGAGGCACACAGCACGAGCGATTAACTAACAACTCTTAGTTGTTAGTTGAGCGCTCGTGCTGTGTGCCTCCTCTTTGCTTTGTGTCTGTGTTTACCCCCGCGTTCATTCTTCGTTTTCGACGGGTGCGCGCATGCATGTTTCACTGTGTGTGCATAGTGCGATTCCAACGACGTTCAGCTTTGCTTTTTTTTATTGTGATAGCAATTATATGAATAGTCGCAGCTGGTTTTTCTCTGCCACCGCCGTCATTCATTATACATATATATATATATAAACTCAACAAAGAAAAAAAAACAAGTCACCCGCGCTCAGTGTCCCGCTTGTCGCCATGCGCCGATGCGCGCTTATCTCCCACGTGTACTTTGCCCCGTGAATGAGGGGGAGGGGGGGAGGGAGGGGGTAGATGCTTTGTTTTTCTTAGTGACCGACTCCGGTGAGATGTTCCAGCGGGTACACGTATGACCGCCACTGCAGCATTAATCCCGTCGCTGAGCCAACTTACAATGCTCGCGGTCGAAATTCCTGCCCAACATCTCACGACGTGTCAAAGCCTCTACAAACAAACACCGCAACACACTTTCTAGTGTGCAAATATTATTCACAGTAAAAGCGTCCATGAATGATATTGTGATGCACTGGTTAATTTCTAAATCATGTCAGCATGAAGCGTCAAAAGAAGAAAAAGTGGGTAAATGGCAAGAGGTAGGGGGGTTCACACGACAAATTTAGGGTGGGAGTTTAAACCCCCCCTTTGGCTACACCACTGTTTCACAATAAAAGAATTCTTGTTCAGACCAGACAAGAAAGCGCAAGAACGTGCACTTTCATGTCAACAGCACGTTCAGCATGCAGTACTGAGCACAATACCATACACCAACAAGACACCCTGATAATAGAAATGAGAATGTTTGATGAAACTTACCTGGGCCTGTACTTCCGTTTCACCAGATGCATCTTGATCGTCTTCTGAATCACCACAAGGTTCTCACGTCGAAAGATTATCTTATTCCTGACTGGAATATAAACCCCAACATGCTTTTAATAATTCAGATTTTCCTCAGGCAAGCAATGCTAATATGTTCTATTATTGTGGCAACAGGAACCTGTATTTTATTCACTGAGTGCCTGAGATGACTAGAATTCTGTCACACAATCTGTGCTAAGTGGTTTAATGTTGACCTCTCAACTAAATGGGGACGAAAAAATGTACAGTAATAATGTTTTATTAGAACACATAAAAGAGAACTTGTCAAAAGGAAGATTCGGAGGTACCCGCTTGGCAGCAGTGCTACAGTTTTATATGCAAGCATCTTTCGAATGCAATACAGTCGAACACATTTATAAGAAATCCGAAAGTGCCGTGTGAAGTGGCTGTATGATGTGCACTTAGTTCCACATGAACTGTGTAGATATACACTGCCTTTATAATTGTAAAACACAGTAGAAACCAGCTGTTAGGCCAATGTTATGTGCTAAAGCTTGACAGCCACCAAGAATGCTTGGGTTCAATTCCAGCTCGAACTACAATACTAAATGGGAAGCATTTCTTAGTGAAACAAAGGCACTGTTAATTTATATGTAGACTGTGAATCTCCTGCGGTGCGTAGCTGCATTCCATGGATTGCGGAATGCGGGTATGTGCCACATGGGACTGCGAAAAAGGGTTCCATGACGTGCGTGACAAGTGTGTTATGTTATTTAACTAATAAAAAATTCATCATGCTCATGATGTACTAATGTCCTAAGATGCTAATTTTCATACCACAGAATTTCGGTCATACAGATCTCATGGGGAAGCGAAAATATTCATATTGTAAGCACAATATTGACGTTTGACCTTCATCTTCATCTATATATAATCACCATGATGAAAAACGTCGTCTTCGTTCGAAGGGTTGATCAGGCGGTTCGGCCTAATAAACGCCGTCGAGACTCCAACGCTGCTACTGTATTACAGAGTGGTGGTGGAAACATATTTATTTATTTAATTACATGAAATTTTCTGCGGAGAAGCTCCGAGTAGTCGGACATGCTTGGCTTGCGATGGGGGGGCCCTTAGTCCAGGGCTCCGCTTGCAGCAGCCGCTCTGCGGGCCCGGTTGATCAGACTCGATTGATCTTCCAGGTTCTCGCTGGCCAGCAGCTCCTCCCATCGCTTCGCTGTTGGATTTTGTACGGGTTGTAAGGCTGTAATGGCCTGACACTCCCACGTGACGTGGTACAGAGTGGCTTTAGCTGAACACCATGGGCAGAGAGGAGAGTATGCCGAGGGGTGCATTTTACTCAGGATGTGCAAATTTGGAAACGTGCCGGTTTGAATTTGCCTCCAGCTGACCGATTCCTCTTTATTTAGTGTTCGGTGTGGTAGCGAATAAGCTTTCCTAAGTCCTCTGTAATGGTTTAGGATGGCCGAATAGTCGCAAGGGACCGGAACAAGTTCCTCAGGGGCGGAGTTGGAAGGTGCTCGGCTCGCATACCCTCGAGCTACCCTATCCGCTGCCTGATTCCCCTCCAGTCCCATGTGGCCCGGAGTCCATATAATCCGATGCCAAATTCTGAGTGGATGTGTAATGGAATGCTCGCCAGTGTCTGTAACGCTCATGATGATGCTGAGAGCGGGTTGGCTGATGCGCCCCTGTAGGTAGTTGCGGCAAGCTGCTTGAGAGTCCGTGAGAACTGTCAGCGACCTTCGTTGTCTGTAGCCGAGGGCGAGAGCGAGCGCGATGGCAGTTTCTTCAGCATCGGTGATGTTGCGGCACCGCACGGAAGCGCTGGTACGTTCTGTGAGTGTGTGGTCCACGACTGTGGCTACAGCCTTATTGTTTGCATGGTCGTAGTTGGCGGCATCAACATAGTACGTTGTGTTTTTGTGTGCATAAGTTCGCTCGAGGGCTTCCACTCTGGCTTCCCTCCGGCCCTGATGTAGTCGGGAATCCATATTGCGGGGGATGGGAGCGACCTTATAAGTGGCACGAAGTTGGTCCGTAATGGGCTTGTGACGAGCTGCGTCGTGAAACTGGCTGATGTAGCCGAGGCGTAGGAGCAGGTCACGGCCTGTAGGTGTTTGCTTGAGCCGTTGCAGTTGTGTGGCGAGTTGCGCTTCACAAAGTTCTTCAAAGGTGTTGTGTAGGCCCAATGCGAGGAGCTTGCTAGAAGGAGTACCCGGTGGTAGCTTGAGTGCCGCTTTGTAGGCCTTGCGGAGCATTGCGTCTACTTGGCCCTGTTCGCTCTTGGTGAGGCGTTGGTAGGGCAAACTGTATGTCACCCTACTGACCACGAGGCTACGTATGAGTTTCAGGGTGTCCTCCTCGCGCATGCCATGGCGACGAGTGGCTACCCGAGATATCATTTGGGCCACTTGCAGTGTAGTGGTGCGGAGAAGAGAAAGTGTGTGATTCACATGGCGGTTCGACTGTACCCACATGCCTAATATTCGAATGGTGGATTTCACTGGGATTTGTTTGCCAGCAAGGACAACCTGGAGGCGGGAGCCTTGGTTGTTCTGCGTCGATGGTGGGAGCTTGCGTCGATAAATTCGTAGAAGCTCAGATTTTTCTGTTGCACAGGCCAGGCCTCGTGCCTGCGCGTATTGTTCGACGCATGTGGCTGCCTGCTGCAGGTTATATTCTTTTTCTCCAAGGGACCCCCGCGTGGCCCAGACGGTGATATCGTCCGCATAAATTGCGTGATGGATGCCATCGATGCGGTGGAGTTCATGTGCCAGGCCAACCATAGCTACATTAAAGAGTAGCGGGGAAATCACTGAGCCCTGCGGGGTGCCCTTGTTCGGAACCTTGATAACATCTGATCGGATGGAGCCGAGACCGACTGTGGCAGTGCGGTCCGACAAGAAGGCGTGAACATAACTGTAGATGCGCTGCCCACAATGAAGGGCCTCGAGGCCCTCAAGTATGGCCTGGTGGCTAACGTTATCAAATGCGCCCTTAATGTCTAAAGTCAAGATAATGTTTTCTCCTTGCTGGGGGGCGTTATCAATGACTTCTTTTAATTGTAGCAGTACATCTTACGTTGAAAGATGTGCCCGGAACCCGTACATTGAGTGCGGGAAAAGGTCATTGTCTTCGAGGTAATCTTGCACGCGATTAGTGATGACGCGCTCGAAGAGTTTACCAAGGCAGGAAGTGAGGGATATTGGTCGGAGGTTTTCGATCTGAAGTTTTTTGCCCGGCTTCGGTATCATTATGACCTCCGCGTGCTTCCATTCAGGAGGAAGCGTGCCACGTTGCCAATGATCATTGAAAAACGCCGTGATTTCTTGTACGGCGCTGTCGTTGAGGTTCCTGATAAGGGAGTACGTGATTCTGTCTGCCCCAGCAGCTGTGTTGCGGTTGCTGCTGCGAATGGCTGCGTAAAATTCGTCCACCGTTATTGGTCGGTCGAGAGTGTCATTGGCACGTCCACGATACGCAGCTTGAGATGCGGGTGGGTAGAAATTGCCAAAGCATTTTCGCCGGACTTGATCCAGCAGCTCATCGTCAGTACCCTCAAAGGCGTGTATGAGGCGCATGACTGACTTATTCGTCTCATTTTTTGTGCGAGTGGGGTCCATCAAAGCGCGCAAAATGTGCCACGTGCGGGCCGTGCCCAATGAGCCTCGAAGAGAGTCGCTAAACTGGGCCCAATTGAGTCGCGCCAGTTCTGTAGCGTACTGCTCTGCCTGAGTGGTGAGTGTGGCGATATTAGCTTGAGGCGTCGGTTATGTTTTTGCGTCCTCCATCTGCGGATGAGGCTCCTTCGGTCTTCCCACAGATGTAGCAGATGGCCGTCCACTTCCGGCAGTGCAGGTTTTCTGTTAATGGTGGTGGTCCAACACTCTCGAATTTCTTTAAGTTGGGTGCACCAGTCGGTGAGGCTTGTGAGGCTGTCGAGTGAATATTCGCTCTCACGACGAAAGGCGTCCCAGTTTGTGATGCGTGCTTCTCCAATAGACCGACGCGCTGCGCTCTCTGTAACTTTTGTGCGGAGAATGAAGTGGTCGCTGCCCAAGGATTCCTACAGGTTGTCCCAGTTATAGTTTGCACGGCCACGGGCGAAGGTGAGATCGGGGCAAGTGTCCCTGCACACACTGTTGCCGATCCGGGTAGGGAACGCGGGATCCGTAAGCAGTTCAAGCTGAAATTTTTCAGTGGCAGCCGCAAGCTGTTTGCCTTTGACATCCGAACGGTTGTAACCCCAGCGTTCGTCGAGAGCGTTGAAGTCGCCGAGCAGTAAGAGTTCTTTTCCCTGGGCCAATCGGCAGGCACCTTGCACGAGGGCATGGAAATCTGTTTTTTTGCTTTGGGGCGCTATATACGTTGACTATGATGATACTTCGCTTTTCTCCTTTCTTTTTTTGCCTGAGAACTAGCTCCACAATCACATGTTCTATGTTGGTGTCTGGGATATTGTCTAAGCCAACTGCGGTTAGCGCTTTGTCAATCAGGATGGCCGCTTTGCCCTTTGTTTGACTATTATAGGACTCATAACCTGAAAATATGGGTGGCGTTCCGGGCTCCTGAAGCGCTATGACATCTGGCCGAGCAAGGTGTGTGTTAATGTACTGTTGGAGGAGGCTCCGCTTTCTGCGGAAGCCGCGGCAGTTCCATTGCCAGACTTCTAAATGTTCGCCAATGAGTGGGGCTGTGCTGCCCATGGTTAATTCGTTGAGTGGAAAGGCGTGGGTATCGGAATCTTGGCTTGCGACGCCGATGTAGGAGTGAGGGTGAGGGCGCTGGGTGTCAATGCGGGGGTAGCGAGGATTTCGGATGCATGTGATTCCAATCCTAGTCTGTGGTAACCTTGATCTGTCGTGGCGTGCGAGCTACGAGTGGCCCTCTTCCTGCGTATGTTTTCGCCTGTTTCAGCAATTTGCGCCTCGAAGCGTGTCTCGAGAGAGTCGAGGCGTTCTCCGAACTGCGTGAATACGGCACTGAATTGTTGCGATAGCTGCTGCGCGAGCGTTGAGAGCATTTCGCGTAACTCTTCGCGTGTGACTGTGGTGCTCGACACAGCAG